AACAGATGAGACGTCAGGCGTTATTGAGACTGTTTATCCGAAATGTTTCGGGGAAGGCCAGAACAGTTGCCTCCCTTTCTCTTGACATCTATCATATTTTGCAATATACTTACTCAAATGTTATATAGCTGTGAGGAACGACAGTTCACTAGTTTCCAGATGACAAGATTGAAACGAGGCCTGGCTGCTAGTATTATAATTGGGACATAATGCTGTTAGCGCCTGATTTTCACTAACTAACATAGGTGCTGAAAATCAGTGCATAAAATGCCAAAATAACTGAGGAGCAATGTTCTTTTAAACGTACATGTCAGAAAAACAGATAATAAGTGGGCAAACAGGACTATGTACAAGAAATACTTCTTTCGTGCATATTTTCCAAAAAATATATATTTGAATTTATAAAGGCGGTCAAAATAAATGATAAAAGGGTATAATACTTAAGTAGCCTATTTTTACAATAGATACGTTTTGCTACTAGTCAGAACGAAGCTCGTTAAAAAGCCCGCATCCTATCATGACTGAAATGACTTCCAAATAGACTACAGGAAAATCAGTATCACAACTTGGGTCAATGCCGTTTAATGAAACAGTATCAATCTGTCGCATATGTCGATATGTTGTGTGATCTTTGGCGACTATTGTACTAACCTCCGGACCAAAATACAGCACTGTAATATACAAAATTGCAGAGAATATGATTTTATAAAAAAGGTCGTGCATCGAGTTCATATGACCTCATATTTTTTTGACTCTGTATAAGAAGGTGCGTTATTGTTTACTTTCAATCAGTCAGTCGCAGTAGGTATTATTCCTATATGTTATGTGCGAATAAGCTGCTTCTTATCCATAGTTCTGGAGGTCGGATTTGAGTGCTCACCGCCAGTTATCCGATCAAGAATTACACGTACTTACATGAAGAGCAAAAAGATAAGAACGCTGCTCAGCTCATACAGACAATGAACTACAAATTCTAGGGAAATCTGACCCGCTATTTCTCGTTTATTGTTACTCATGCTCCAAGTACCTCAAGCCCAGGCTAAAGCCAATTGCTGTGCGAACTGAAGTCCGGGTGGTCGTCAAGGTGAACTTTATACGACTTAAAACACGAAATCACCCTTTGTCCGACTGTTCTCCGGAATGTTTAAAGAAAAATCTCTCGTGGTAGCTGCGGAGAATGTGCGGTAATATGACGATTTACTTTGTGTGTAA